CCCTTGGGAAAACCAATCGGGGTTTCCTTTTTACAATTGCCGAAACCCCCCCATAACCCTTTTTTCAAAATCGGGAAAAAAAAATTTAACCCCCCCTTTCCCAATTTAAAACAAAAATTTTGGAATTTTTTTCACCAAAAAACAACCTTGCCCCAGCCTTGCTTTTCCCACCCGCCCCCAGGCCCTTCCCTTCCGCTTCAACCCTTCAAACACCCACCTTAAAACCCATATAAGGCCGGGTTTTTAAAAAAATATACTTCATACATTTCCCCTTTGCCCCCCCAAGGACAAAATTCTTTGTCTCCACGGGCTCCTAAGTGCAAACCCCTCACTCTTTTTTCCCCATCAATTTTTATGATTCACTCATCTTTCATAGCCCATCCCCTGACAAGTCCCCTCCCAATGAGAAGTGTTTGAATAATTAAACTTGACGAATTTCCCCAGGACCAGGCCCAATTTTATGGGGGATGTATGGGAAAAAAATTTCTCTACAATTAAAAGTCGTCAATTTAAAAAATAATCATTATCATTTGTAAATGAATGGAGAGTGAGAAAAATTGGATGATCTAACAACCCCCACCTACCACCCATCTTCAAAAATCTTGAAGATAAACCCCCCCCTTACTAGACCATTACATTAACTAGAGAAAGTCAGGTTTTTAGAAGAATGAAAATAGAGCCCCGGGGCCCCTCCCGGAATAAAAAGGAAACAAATAAAGTACCTACCTAAAAAAATTTCAAACAGGGCCTTGGTAAAATCTTTTAAACCCTTGGCCTCAAGGGCATTTTTTAAATTGTTTTTTGACGCCCAGGGTGATCTTTCCTTTCTAAACCCAAAAAAAGACATCCACCAACCTGGGAACTATAACCTATATTTTTTACTTGAAGTTTACGGGAAAAAAAATTTTTTGAGAAAATCAATTTTCCCAAAAGAAATTTAATTAACTAATGGAGTTTAATCACTTGTTTACTGAAAAAAAATTTTGGGGTTTAGAACACATAGAGGTACCAAACATGCAATAAATGTTATTTTTGAAAACTGTAGCAAAATCTAAAAAAAGCAGGGGAATCTTGCCTTAAAATTTCCACCAGAGATGTTCATTAAAACTTTTGATTTGCTTTTGGGATGATGCCTTAAATACAAACTCAATTTACCTTTCCCGACCATAACTGGACTTTTCTTTTAGAGTATTTATAAATTTTTTAACTCAAAGAAAAATCATTCCCACCTTTTATGGAAGTCAAGAACCTTTATACCGAAAGGTGGTGTCCCACAAAGGGTTCCCTTTTTCGGCAGTCCATTTGTTTAAATTTTCGTGAATGCCTTCCCCAACCGAGTTTTAAAGACACAATTGTGACACAGTTTAGATGGTGTTATTAGTTGGGCTCAAACAATTCCAAATAACAGGAAAATACAAGTATGAGGAGTCATAAAAAAGAAAAATTTTAACATTCCGTCGAACTTTTAAAAATTTGGGGGAAGAAATGGAGAAATTTTACTAAAACCTGACAAGGTCCCTTGTTAGCACTTTGGGTGTTTTTTCATCAACCATCGAAAATTAAAAAAGGGGGTTAAACTCCATCAGAGGTACACCTGGGAGTTCCCTTAGAAACCCTAAAAAGATCTTGGGATATGAAATGACAGGGCCTTTCTTCCCCTCAACATCCATGTTTAAATAAAAAAATCAACCCGCCCCAAAATCTTTTTAGCAGACTCTTTCGATTTTAAACAAGCCCCCCCAAAAATTCCCCCCCCCCCAAAATCTGTATAAAAATGATAATAAGACCTATTTCGAATACCCTTTTGTCCCCAAAGTCATTAACAACAAAGACCAAAATGCTACGGTTACAAAGGGGGGAGAATAGAGTCTTCGCTTTATTACCATACCCGGAGGAGAGACAGAGTTAAAAGGGAGATTTACACACAAACAAGATATTACTGCCATAAATGTACGCCTTGACACCCCAAAAAAGAAACAAAAATTTATTTTCAATGCAAGAAAATTACAAGCAAGATACAGAACATCCTATACAAAAACGATAAATACCCCCGATTTCACCACAATAACCCCTTCCCCCCTACAAGGGCTCGGGAAAAATGACTCTCCCACAGAGGGGTTTTTGGTTTTTAAATTTATAAAGAAGATTACCCCCGGGCCCCTGAAATTTTTAGAAACTTACCTGATGAAAAAAGATTGGTACCACCCAAAAACCCTTCTTGTATAATGAAAAATCATCGCCCCCCAAATAGGGGGGACATCTTTAAAAAACTTTTTTAATGTAAAATTTTTGTATTGACTATTGTTGGACCCACCATTAAGAAGCTATTGTCATGAAATTATAAAAATGGCCAGAAAATTATTGCCTTTTTTGTCGTTAAAATATCCTTGTGCAATCCGAAGAAAAAAAAAAAAAAAAAAAAAAAAAAAAAAAAAAAAAAAAAAAAAAAAAAAAAAAAAAAAAAAAGCAATTGCAACTTGTATAACTACTACCAATTCAGAGTCATGTACTTATATACCTATTATATCTATGTGACTCTGATGGGTTAGTATTATACCCCTTTAAGAATATCTTATCAATTCACATACACTTTTTAAATTGCACCAAAGTGGTTGGGCCACTTACCTTTTATATCCTACCTCTCCCCCCCTCCCACCCTTTTCCAATATTTCCATCCTTACCCATCCTTCTTCCTTACCCATCTTACCAAAGCTCTGGTCATCATCATCAGAAGAAGAAGACGTACACAAGGCCTTCGAAAGCCTGTGGCACAACAGTCTCATTTTTCAAACTCGTAGACCTCCCTGACCATAACTGGACCTTTCTCAGGCTCATCTACAACTTCTTAACAGGAAGAAGAATCATCCCCATCTTCCACGGCACGGAAGCAACTCCCTTCATGCCGACAGCAGGAGTACCCCAAGGCTCTTGCCTCAGCCCTATACTCTTCAACATATACGTCAATGACCTCCCCCAGCCTGAGCACAATGATACCATCATCACCTAGTTTGCAGACGATGTTATCCATGTAGTCTCTTCTACCCCCACCGCTGGTGCAAATAAGCATAGGAGAGCAATAGAGAAAATGAATGAAGAACTAAGGAGAACAGCTAGGTGGGAGAAGAAATGGAGAATCACAACCAACCCAGACAAAGTCCTCATCAGCACCATCGGCTGCTTACCATCAACCATAGAAGACAAAGGGGCATTTCCATCAGAGGCACCCGAATTGCTGTTAGGAATCCAAACAAGATCCTAGGATACAAGATCGACAGATTACTCAACTCTACATCCCACATAACCAAAAAAGTAAACCTAGCGAAAGCCCGCCTTGGCCAACTTTATCGATTTAAAGCAGCCCCTTCCCACATCAGACAACACCTGTACAAGATGATGATCAGACCTCTGATAGAATACCCTTGTGTACCCATGTCGCTAACAAACAAAACCAACATGCTAAAACTCCAAAGAGTCCAAAACAGAGCCCTCTGCTTTATCACTGGCACCAGATTCAGAGACAGAATCAGGACCGAAGACCTGCACATACATCAGAGAATCACTTCAATCTAATGAAGAGACAACTATATGACATGCAGGAACACTCTATACCGACAGAGAGAACCCTCCCCAACCATCGAAACACAATCAACTACACCATTAGCATCCCCTGCCACAGATACCAAAGAATGGCCATCCAACAAAGAGTTCGACGCTTCATCCACAAGGGAGAACTTCCTTCGACCAAAAATCTTAAGTGACCCTCCCCGAAGAAGAAGAATGGATACCACCAGAACCATTCTGCGTCCAGTAACATGGACTAACGCTCCCCAATTCTGGGTGACCCACTTCTATCAATCAACACCTCACAACTAACCTTGTAACACCTACAATTATACTCTAGCAGGACACCACCTCAGAAACTGCTTGGCCAGCCAACTTCAGGAGCAACCAACTCCATCAAAATGACCTGCAGCTACCACCTGCAGCTGCGGCCTTACGACCAACCTCTTGCGAAAAAACAGGCAATTGCAAACAGTATGCATCCTTCCAATTCAGTGGCACACTGGTATACAGACAATATAGCAGTGTGCAATTGATGGACAGGAGGTATACCTATCTCATGAAGTCAACTTTTCTACAAATTACACAACATACACACACGCATATTTAAATTGCACCAAAGTAGATAGGCCACTTACCTTTAAAACCCTACCTACCCCACCACCCTCCCAAACCTTTCCAACATTCCATCCTTACCATGCTTCTTCCTCCCCCGTCTTACCAAAGCTCTGGTCAGAACCTTGTTACCTCATTCTTAATCACTGAAGAAGGCACATTCTCGCCTCTCTCTTCCTCCTCCTTTGAAGCAATTTCCTCAGCTGCAGTCTGTTGCTGTTCCAGTTGAAGGTATTTCAAGCTCTTCAGTGGTTAGCTCTTCCCTGTGGCTGTCCACCAACTCTTTCACATCCTGGCCACTCACATCCAACCCCATGGGCTTCCCCATTGTCAGCTCTATGAAAACCGAGCAGATGTACGAAAACTGGGGACAAAATTTGACGAAAAAGTTGTCGAAAAATGAATTCTTATGAAAACCAGGGGCATACAAAAACGAGGTTCCACTGTAGTTCCTTTCTTTACTCTCTTTACATCTTTCAAGGGTAGGGGGGATGCCTTGATATTGAAGGGCTCTCAGTCCAGGAAATTGGAGCAATCTTTTCCTGCAGGAGAAAACATGCTTTTATCCTATACTGCATACAGTATGTTGAATTTATAATGATTTTATTTTATCTGTAGTTGATCATTCATGGTGGCTTGCTTCCCATGAAGCACTTGTGTTTGCTCATGTGTCTGTTTTCAAACCACTTTCCTGGTATCAGTTACCAAGGCTTATATCATCTTTTGCCTTGCTAGATTGATCACATAATTTGATGTCTTTTGTATATGGTACCTGCACAAAAGTAGTCTGCTTATTATATACTGTACATATATACTCATTTCAGATCTCTTGGAGGGCATTGCTAGTGCAGAAATTGCGAACAGATACACACTAAAATTGCAAATAGATACATATTGGGATGGATCCTAGTATGAGTTCACCACATTCATATTTCCCTGTGACACATTCTCCTCAAGGTTAGTCAAATTATGAACATTCATTTATCTCTGCAAGATATGAATTATAAGAGTTGTATATACCCTAAGAGATATATGTCTTTCAGTGTATTTACACGTAATGTACTTTAATTCCACAGTTCAGTTATCAAAGTATTCTTGATTGGTGTTGTACAGGTGAAATGCAGCCTTGATTCAATTCAATTCAATTCAGGTTTATTCTCTATAATGGTTACAATGTGGGGTTTACAGGTTTTGGGTATTTTGTGGTTTACATGTTACAAAATACTAATTACAGAGGGGGCCACTAGGACACCTAGCATGGCTAGGCATTCGAGCAGAGGCTTAGATAAATTCTTAACATTAAATCCTTACAGATTATGGTATTAAGGCTAAGTGACTACATCATAATTTGTGAGTTTAGCAATGTGAATGCTTTTGTTTTGGCACAATATAAGGTGTCTATATTTGAGTATCATAGGCAAACTTATGACTAGTTAGGATTTATTATTTTAAGATTAAGATTAGTATTTCTGTGTTTATAGTCAGTGGGTGAGTGAGTGTAATTTTGAACCACCAGGTGGTTATCATGTAGTTAGTTGTCAGGGTGGATCAGGGAGATAAGATGTTTTCTAACTGTGTTTTGAAAGTGATGAATGTGTTCTGCAGTTCTAGAGTTTTCAGGTTAGGGTGTTCCAGATTTTAGGTCCTTTGAAATACATTGAATTTTTTGTAAAGGTTTAGTCGGGACACGGAATGTCATAGAGATGTTTGTGTCTGGTGTTATGCCTGTGGATCCTGTCACAACTATCAAGAAAGCATTTTAGGTCAAGGTTAACCCTTTGACTGTTTCAGGCCCCTCTCTGAAACTCATTCTATGTCGCCAAATATTCGAAAAAAAAAAAACAAATTATTTTTTCTTATGAAAATGTTAGGAATATTTTTCTGAGTGTTTTAAGCCTAAAAAAAATTTTTGCCATCAGTACTTACCGAGATATAGAGCCGCAAAGTTTGCAGAAAGTGACGTGCGTACGGCAACAGCGGCGACTGCCGCCCACCCGGTATTCTTTTATTTACTCTAATTCAAAGGTTTCTTGCATTTTTCAATATTTTTCTGTTTCAGGTAACTTATGTGGCCTGTGAGACCAATGTAAGGTGCATTGTTCAAATACAATAACAGAACAAACTTTATCACTATTAGTTTGAGAATACACTTGTTTACACAAACAAACAATACAAAACAATGTTTATACTATTGTTTCATAATATATATATACATATGTACAGTCACTAAACATGTTCCTAGAACTGCTGCAGCTTGTGGAACTCTTTGAAACATGGGTATATGCAGAGGGGCACTTGACACTCCTCACACATAAAACGAGTGTCTCTGCGTGTTTGTGGGCGTTTTGTGGTATGTGTACATACATAACACCTCTTCTGAGCATTTTTCTTGGCAGTAGTAGGAGGCAGTTGCATGGGGTAGTGATCACCAGGCCTGAAACGAGATGACGTGTGTTGGTAATTTCGTGGGCGCTGGTCTATTGCAGGTGTTGCTCCTTGGTACTTTGCAATTATTTGTCTGATTACTGACAAGCAAAATTTTCACCATTTTTTGGTGTTTTGTTGGTCTTCAACTTGTATATGTTATAAGCATTCAGCATAGAGATATCAACAAGATGGAAAAAAAGTTTTATATACGACTTATAACTCTTGCGTACACAGTCTGCAAACCCAATCTGCATGTCACATTTGTCCACTAAGTGCATATTGAGGTTGTAGTCCATGACAGCTGCAGGCTTTAGAATGGGTTCATTGGTCTCTCTGTTGTGCCTGCCACTGTGTACCATTTCGTTTCGGTGAACTGATGTCAATAATGTGACATCACGTTTGTCATGCCACCGAAATGCCATGATGTCATTGGCAGCAAAGGCTTGCACCTCACCTCTGCGAGTGCCAGTTTCGAACCTTGGCATATGTTTACGATTACGACGCACTGTGAAACACACGTCTGTCAAGTTCACTCGCAAGAAATCACTGAGTAAGGGGCTTGTGTACCAGTTATCGGTAAATAACACATGCCCCTTACCAAGATATGGTTCCATCATTGTTTGAACCACATCACCAGAGATACCCAATAACTTCATGGGTATCTCTCAAAGTATTACTGCCAGTGTACACTGATATCCAAAACTAGACCACTTCTGCAATCACACAGTACAAATAGCTTTATACCAAAGCGTTTCCTCTTGCTTGGTATATATTGCTTGAATGAGAGTCTTCCTTTGAATAAAATCAAGGACTCATCAATAACAAGCTTCCTGAAGGGATAAAAAATACATGCAGCACTTTTGTTTCAGGTACAAAAAACACATTTCTTATCTTATATAACCTGTCGCTTCTGTCAGGCCTGGTTTTGTCTGAAAAGTGTAACATACGTAACAGTATCAGGAAACGATTGACACCTATAATGTCACTAAAACCTGGAGTTGAAATCAGGCGTTCTGTTGCCCAGTATGTGGTGACAGGGGTGCTTATACACATGTGGCATAAGCATTATTATGGAAAAAAAACAGGTACATCTCTGCCACAGTTGTCTCCTTCCACTTGTGTAGCCGTGATTTTGGTGAGGAATTGTATTTGCCATGGTGTAATCACAGTATGTGTTTGTTTCCCCTGACAATGATGTCCATCAGGGGTTCATCAAAGAATAACTCAAAGCAGTCCAGTTCACTGGCATTGTTCCCAAGTGGACATGATGGCTTTATTCCACTTTGTGTTTCATCAAAGTCATGGGGACTGGGAACAAACTCGTCACCGTCCTGCCAACCCGAGATGCGGTCTGCTGGTGGGGTCTGGATATTGTACCATGGTTGTGGTTGTGCAGGTTGTGGTTGTGCAGGTTGTGAGAGTGTGGGGTCGGGTGAGGCTGGTTGTTGTGCAGAGTCAGCAGCGTGGGTAGTAGCGTGGCCCGCTGATGGTGCCACTTGGGCCGTGCCACCCTCACTATCACCACCACTGCCTGCTCCCTCACTCACATCATTCATACCCATCGTTACAATATCGTCATCTTCACTATCAGGTCGTGGTGTAGGGCCATGGGATGTGCTCCCAGAGTTTCTCCTTCCCCTTGGAACAAACATATGAAAAAACTGCCAGACTGCATGCTACGTCGTACATACTGCCGCTTCACTGGGGAATATTCACCCTCACTGTCACTAGAACTGCTTTCAATGACCTTGAAATCACTATCACATTCACTGCTAACATCTGGGTGTTGTACACGACCAAGTAGTTTCCTCTTTCGTCCTGGTACAGGCGAACGTGAACAAGCCGGCCCAGCACCAGAGGTGGAAGGTTGTGGGTCACCTTGGTTTTCCTCACTAATTACGTTATCCTGGGCACTTTTTCCGGTAACACTCACTTCAAAACCCTGGAATTCACTGTCACTGACATTTTGCTTGGGAACAAAAGACCTCCAATCCGCCGAGGAGTGAGGAACTTCTTACCGAGAGGCATGGTGAAAATGGACTAACAAGATGGCGTTCCCACAATGCACCGCGGGGGTCCCAGATTTTTTTCACAGGGTGCACACCGACCACTGAGACCCATTCTCTCTCATGTAAGCCTACCAGGCCTTTCCCGCTTGATTTGAAGCCGCTAGAATTTGTGCGTATAAATACGTCAGAAACATTGGCTCGTAAGACGTATTTATGCGTTGTAAACAGTCAAAGGGTTAATATTGGAGTTTAAGGTCTGTAGATATAGATTGCAACAGTAGAAAAGTGTGGGATGTTTCTGAACAGGGAGTAAGTTTAGATCTATGAAGAGTGGGGGGTGTTTGCCAGGGATGGGATTTAGGATTATTCTTACTGCGGCTTTTTGTTGGGTTATTATTGGCTTTAGGTGTGTTGCTGCAGTTGAACCCCCAAGCACAGATAGCATAGGTTTGAGGTATGGATATATAAGTGAATGGTATAGTGTGAGAAGGGCAGTTTGCGGCACGTAGTTTTCGTATCTTGGAGAGGATCCTAACCGTTTTGGATACTTTTTTGGTTATGTGTTGGATAAAGGGTGCTGAAATTTAGGTTGTTGTCTAGGTATAGGCCAAGGAATTTGCCCCTCATTATGTTTGGCAATTAAGTGTTTGTCGATCTTATGGTTAAGTTGCGAACCGTTCTGCTACCAAACATATATAGTAGGGTTATTACCGTAATATAGAAATTTAATGAGACCGGTGAGTATGTTAATTATTTATTATTTCAAATATGGCGTCACTTGTGCAAGTCGTCTGCTACCAAAATCTCACATTTAGTTTATTTATTCTACTGTGGGGTGTATTTATCTTATTTTTATGTTATGCATCGTGTTTATTATATAATTTTGAAAAAAAATATTATGGATGGATTAATGAAATTGTGTATATTACCGTAATATACGACATTTAATGAGACTCGGTGAGTATTGTTATTATTATTATCATTTTCTAATATGGCGTCACTTTTGCAAATCGTCTGCTACCACATCCACATTTATGTTTATTTATTCTACTGTGGGTGTATTTATTTTATTTATAGTTATGCATCGTGTTTTTTATATAATTTGAAAAAAATACAGGGAGGATTAAATGAAAATGTGTATATTAAAAAATATAACATTTAAATGACTCAAATTTTTATTATTATCTTTACTAAATGAGCTGGAGAATAAGCATTTACCAATTTTTAATGTGTCCGCATCCCAGCACAGTATTAAAGTTTATTTGGGTACAGTTAAATAAATAATTATCAGAGTATATATAAAATAGAAATAATTTTTAAAAAAACATTTGAAATTTTGGAGTTTCCAGAAAAAAGGAGAGACTTATGCTTATGAGCTCAGGAGAATTAAACAAACGGGGGACAGGGTGACCGTTTGAAAGTCGGTGGGGGGAGCCGATAGTGATTTTGGTCATAATTGAAATGCCGATTAGCGGAACGCCGTAAAAATGAAACGCCGTAAAGCGGGGCCCTTTCCCGTAA